GAATTATTTATTTCAGCTTTTATTTCTTTCATCACATTCCCAGTGGGTCAGAAGTTTACATACACTCAATTCTTATTTGGTAGCATTGCCTTTAAATTGTTTAACTTGGGTCAAACGTTTCGGGTAGCCTCCTAAAAGCTTCCCACAATAAGTTGGGTGAATTTTGGCCCATTCCTCCTGACAGAGCTGGTGTAACTGAGTCAGGTTTGTAGGTCTCCTTGCTCGCACACGCTCTTTCAGTTCTGCCCACAATTTTTCTATAGGATTGAAGTCAGGGCTTTGTGACGGCCACTCCAATACCTTGACTTTGTTGTCCTTAAGCCATTTTGCCACAACTTTGGAAGTATGCTTGGGGTCGTTGTCCATTTGGAAGACCCATTTGTGACCAAGCTTTAACTTCCTGACTGATCTCTTGAGATGTTGCTTCAATATATCCACATAATTTTCCTTCCTCATGATGCCATCTATTTTGTGAAGTGCACCAGTCCCTCCTGCAACATGATGCTGCCACCCCCGTGCTTCACAGTTGGGATGGTGTTCTTCGGCTTGCAAGCGACCCCCTTTTTCCTCCAAACATAACGATGGTCATTATGGCCAAACAGTTCTATTTCTGTTTCATCAGACCAGAGGACATTTCTCCAAAAAGTATGATCTTTGTCCCCATGTGCAGTTGCAAACCTTAGTCTGGCTTTTTTATGGCGGTTTTGGAGCAGTGGCTTCTTCCTTGCTGAGCGTCCTTTCAGGTTATGTCGATATAGGACTTGTTTTCCTGTGGATATAGATACTTTTGTACCTGTTTCCTCCAGCATCCTCACAAGGTCCTTTGCTGTTGTTCTGGGATTAATTTGCACTTTTCGCACCGAAGTACGTTCATCTCTAGGAGACAGAACGCGTCTCCTTCCTGAGCGGTATGACGGCTGCGTGGTCCCATGGTGTTTATACTTGCATACTATTGTTTGTACAGATGAACGTGGTACCTTCAGGTGTTTGGAAATTGCTCCCAAGGATGAACCAGACTTGTGGAGGTCTACAATTGTATTTCTGAGGTCTTGGCTGATTTCTTTTGATTTTCCTATGATGTCAAGCAAAGAGGCACTGAGTTTGAAGGTAGACCTTAAAATACATCCACAGGTACACCTCCAATTGACTCAAATTATGTCAATTAGCCTATCAGAAGCTTCTAAAGCCATGACATCATTTTCTGGAATTTTCCAAGCTGTTTAAAGGCACAGTCAACTTAGTGTATGTAAACTTCTGATCCACTGGAATTGTGATAAAGTGAATTATGAGTGAAATAATCTGTCTGTAAACAATTGTTGGAAAAATTACTTGTGTCATGCACAAAGTAGATGTCCTAACCGACTTGCCAAAACAATAGTTTGTTAACAAGACATTTGTGGAGTGGTTGAAAAACGAGTTTTAATGACTCCAACCTAAGTGTATGTATTCTTCCGACTTCAACTGTACATGTAGGTAGAGTTAAAGTGACTATGCATAGATAATAAACAGAGAGTAGCAGCAGCGTAAAAGAGGGGGTGGGGGGGACAATGCAAATAGTCCGGGTAGCCATTTGATTAGCTGTTCAGGGGTCTTATGGACCTAGACTTGGCGCTCCGGTACTGCTTGCCGTGCGGTAGCAGAGAGAACAGTCTATGACTAGGGTGGCTGTAGTCTTTGATCATTTTTAGGGCCTTCCTCTGACACCGCCTGGTATAGAGGTCCTGGATGGCAGGAAGCTTGGCCCCAGTGATGTACTGGGCCGTACGCACTACCTTCTGTAGTGCCTTGCGGTCGGAGGCCGAGCAGTTGCCATACCAGGCATTGATGCAGCCAGTCAGGATGCTCTTGATGGTGCAGCTGTATAACTTTTTGAGGATCTGAGGACCCATGCCAAATCTTTTCAGTCTCCTGAGGGGGAATAGGCTTAGTTGTGCCCTCTTAACGACTGTCTTGGTGTGTTTGGACCATGATAGTTTGTTGGTGATGTGGACACCAAGGAACTTGAAGCTCTCAACCTTCTCCACTACAGCCCGTTGATGAGAATGGGGGTCGTGCTCGGTCCTCCTTTTCCTGCAGTCCACAATCATCTCCTTTGTCTTGATCACGTTGAGTGAGAGCTTGTTATCCTGGCACCACATGGCCAGGTCTCTGACCTCCTCCCTATAGGCTGTCTCATCGTTGTCAGTGATCAGGCCTACCACTGTTGTCGTCGGCAAACTTAATGATGGTGTTGGAGTCGTGCCTGGCCATGCAGTCATGAGTGAACAGGGAGTAAGTCTCCCGAGTGGCGCAGTGGTCTAACGCAGTGCTAGCTGTGCCACTAGAGATCCTGGTTCAAATCCAGGCTCTGTCGTAGCCGGCCGCGACCGGGAGACCCCTGGGGCGGCGCACAATTGGCCCAGGGTAGGGGAGGGAATGGCCGGCAGGGATGTTTGCACTCACTAACTGTAAATCGCTCTGGATAAGAGCGTCTGCTAAATGACTAAAATGTAAAATGTAAATGTGAGTACAGGAGGGGACTGAGCACGCACCCCTGAGGGTTCCCTGTGTTGAGGATGAGCGTGGCAGATGTGTTGTTACCTACCCTTACCACCTGGGGGAGGCCCGTCAGGAAGTCCAGGATCCAGTTGCAGAGGGAGGTGTTTAGTCCCAGGGTCCTTAGCTTCGTGATGAGCTTTGAGGGCACTATGGTGTTGAACGCTGAGCTGTGGTCAATTAAAAGCATTCTCACGTAGGTGTTCCTTTTGTTCAGGTGGGAAAGGGCAGTGTGGAGTGCAATAGAGATTGCATCATCTGTGGATCTGTTGGGACCATATGCAAATTGGAGTGGGTCTAGGGTTTCTGGGATAATGGTGTTGATGTGAGCCATGACCAGCCTTTCAAAGCACTTCATGGATACAGACGTGAGTGCTACGGATCTGTAGTCATTTAGGCAGGTTACCTTAGTGTTCTTGGGCACAGGGACTATGGAGGTCTGCTTGAAACCTGTTGGTATTACAGACTCAGTCAGGGACAGGTTGAAAATGTCAGTGAAGACACTAGCCAGTTGGTCAGTGCATGCTCGGAGTACACATCCTGGTAATCTGTCTGGCGGCCTTGTGAATGTGACCTGTTTAAAAAGGTTTTTACTCACATCTGCTATGGAGAGTGTGATCACACAGTCCTACGGAACAGCTGATGCTCTCATACATGCTTCAGTGTTGCTTGCCTCGCAAGCATAGCATACCACAGATCTAATGTTTGGAGTTCATCCAAAAGCCCATTATTTCCCCATAGGCATTGGCCAACGAGCCATGGCAGAGTCACTGAGGTATAAAGAAAGGCGCAGTTAGTTCCTACAAAAAGACGCCATTACCAAAGATGTTCTATCTGTGCCATTACTATTGCTCTCTTCATCGACCTGGCCAAGGCTTTCGACTCGTCAACCCCCGCATTCTTTTTGGCAGACTAAATAGTTTTGGTTTCTCCAAATGATCCCTCCCCGGGTTTCACCAACTACTTTCAGATAGAGTTCAGTGTGTCAAATCGGAGGGCCTGTTTTTGGGAAACCTATGGCAGTCTCTATGGGGGTGCCAAGGGGTTCAATCTTGGGCCGACACTTTTCTCCGTGTATATCAATGATGTCGCTCTTGCTGCTGGTGACTCTCAGATCCACCTCTACGCAAGACGACACCTTTGGATAACACTCATGGCATTCATTGGAACCTTGTGTTAACAAACCCCCAAACGAGTATCACATGCCATTACAACAACCTTCAGTAGCCATCAACTGCGCTAACACTAGTAAAAACCCCTAAAATGCATGCTTTTCAATCGAACGCTGCTAGCACCCGCCCACCCGACTAGAATCACCACTCTCGACGGGTCTGACCTAGATTATGTGGACAACTACAAATATCTAGGTGTCTGGTTAGACTGTAAACTCAACTTCCAGACTCACATAAAGAATCTCCAATCCAAAGTTAAATCTAGAATCGGCTTCCTATTTCGCAACAAAGCCTCCTTCACTCATGCTGCCAAACATGCCCTCGTAAAACTGACTATCCTACCGATCCTTGACTTCGGCGATGTCATTTACAAAATAGCCTCCAACACTCTACTCAGCAAATTGGATGTAGTCTATCACAGTGCCATCCGTTTTGTCTCCAAAGCCCCATACACTACCCACCACTGTGACCTGTACGCTCTTGTTGGCTGGTCCTCACTACATGTTCGTCGTCAAACCCACTGGCTCCAGGCCATCTATAAATCACTGCTAGGCAAATCCCCGCCTTATCTTAGCTCATTGGTCACCATAGCAGCACCCACCCGTAGTCTGCGCTCCAGCAGGTATATCTCACTGGTCATTCCCAAAGCCAACACCTCCTTTGGCCGCCATTCCTTCCAGTTCTCTGCTGCCAATGACTGGAACGAATTGCAAAAATCTCTGAAGCTGGAGACTCTTATCTCCCTCAATAACTTTAAGCATCAGTTGTCAGAGCACCTTACCGATCACTGCACCTGTACACAGCCCATCTGAAATTAGCCCACCCAACTACCTCATCCCTATATTGTTATTTATTTTGCTCTTTTGCACCCCAGTATCTCTATTTGCACATCATCTCTTGCACATCTAGCATTCCAGTGTTAATACTATTGTAATTATTCTGCACTATAGCCTATGTATTGCCTTACCTCCATAACTTGCTACATTTGCACACACTGTATATATATTTTCTGTTGTATTTCTGACTTTATGTTTTTTTACCCCATATGTAACTCTGTGTTGTTTTTATTGCACTACTTTGCTTTATCTTGGCCAGGTCGCAGTTGTAAATGAGAACAACGGACCACAGTTTCTAAACATACTGAACTGACTTTAAATCAGCTTTCCCTATCCGGTTTATTCTGATAAAACGACAAGAACCGACCCTGGACCAGTTATAACCGCTGCACAAGCGCAGACTTCTAATCACGTGGTGCAGTAGCTGCCTGTCTTCTCAGAACCAAGGAGCTGCAAAATGGAGGTGATGATGTTATAAATATATTTAATGTTTATCTATCTCTGTATATTTGAGATGAACGTAACAGAGTGCAAAGTGTATTTGGAGCAAACAGATTTTTATTTTGATAATGTTACAGCAACAATAAAAGGTGCGCATTCTAACCGCAATTTTTTTTAGGAAGCAACGTTAGCTAACTAGCTAGCACAGATGCGTCTCTGAACATTTGGCTATCAAATTGCATCATGCCAGTCATAGAGGGCTACGGTTTCAATGTTGCATACATTTTGGTTTGTAGGCAAGCGCTTGAATGTATCGTTGGGATACATAGCTACCGGTATAATAACGGTATAGGCCTTAAAATGTAAGGCAGGCTACGCCTAGCCCTAGTAGTAGGCGTAGTAGTTACATGCATTTAACTGGATAAAGGAATTTACCCACTAGAAATGGTATTTGCATTATAAAGTATATTAAATAATATTTTCAAAATGGCGAATTGTTGTTTCCCCAACAATGTTCCAGAGTCGTGGCTAATGTGATGGTTACACTATCTCTCCTAAAATGTTATGTGTTTTTTTTTTTATCAGCATAAGTCTGTCTTGCTGTTGGACATTGGGCAGAGCTGATTACTGTACCCCCCAATAACCATAACCAGGGCATTATATAAATATTCTCAATATAAGGCTCTGTCTGTAACCATTTAAATAGCCTGGCTGGCGCATTGCATTCTAATGCAGTAGTTCTGCCTTTGGGCGGTGTGAAATTAGAACGTTTACACGTATATATTGGAGTCAAGTGTACTGTACAATTTTAGTAAAAAGATAGTATGCTGTTGTCTATATAGTTGCATTGTTATGTGTGACATACATTCCTGTTTTGAATAATTTAACAGGGAGCTAGGGAGCCAGAACAGCTCAGGAAGCTGTTCATTGGGGGCCTCAGTTTTGAAACCACTGAGGAAAGTTTAAGGATCCATTTCGAACAATGGGGAAACCTCACAGATAGTGTGGTATGTATGCATTTCGCTCGCAATTTGATTTTACACACAAGTGTCTAGTGTTTACCAAATTGGTTAAAGTAATGTAAGCTAATACGTTGGTTTCCTGTAGGTGATGCGGGACCCAAACAACAAGCGCTCGAGAGGGTTCGGCTTTGTGACATACTCCTGTGTGGAGGAGGTTGATGCCTGCATGGCAGCTCGCCCTCATAAGGTGGACGGGCGTGTTGTCGAACCTAAAAGGGCTGTGTCGAGAGAGGTAAGCAAAGTCTGCTTGACATTTCAGGTGCGTTTGCTGTTGTGGAGGTGTGACGGGTGTGTGTTCACTGCTTGTCTGTCTCAGGACTCCAACAGACCAGGTGCCCACCTGAGGGTGAAGAAGATCTTTGTCGGGGGGATCAAGGAGGACACAGAGGAGGACCACATCAGGGAGTACTTTGAGCCCTACGGGAGGATCGAGACCATTGACATTATGGAGGAACGCGCAACTGGGAAGAAGAGGGGGTTCTGCTTCGTATCATTTGATGACAATGACACTGTGGATAAAATAGTCGGTATGTTTGGGTATTTTTTATTTTTTTTATTCATTTTTTTTGCAGTTTTGAATTTGTCATTTGAAACATCAGTAAACATTCCGTTTAAGTATTTTCTCTTGTTTTCTTTTCAGCTCAAAAATACCACACAATAAACACACACAACTGTGAAGTCAGAAAAGCACTTTCAAAACAGGAAATGATGGAGGCGTCCAATCAGAGGAGTAAGCGTAATAACCAATCTTTATACTGCTTGTACAAATGTGTGACTGTTTTAGAGAAGCACATATATAGAATGCGCTTCATTGTCAATATTGGGCCATTCTATTTTTTTAGGTAGGGGTGGTGGCTCTGGGAACTTCATGGGTAGAGGTGGCAACTTTGGTGGCGGCAACTTTGGACGAGGTAAGCACTTTTTTTTTTTTACATTTGACATGGAACTTAAGAACAGGTAATCACACAATAAATGTAAACATTTGATCTTGTGTTACAGGAGGCTACGGTGGAGGAAGAGGAGGTTATGGAGGAAGAGGAGGATATGAGGGAGATGGTAAATGTTTCTATACCGTTTAGTGGATAATCAGATGAGGGGGGGGGGGGGAAACAAAGCTGCATCACTAGAAGAGAGCTTGCTCAAATCTGATTGCTCTGCTTTTGGTCGCTGTCCTGATCGGAGTGGTCGGTTTGTAACCCGTCCTGATCTGAGTGGTCGGTTTGTAACCCGTCCTGATCTGAGTGGTCGGTTTGTAACCCGTTCTGATCTGAGTGGTCGGTTTGTAACCCGTTCTGATCGGAGTACTCTGTTTTGTAACCCGTTCTGATCGGAGTACTCTGTTTTGTAACCCGTTCTGATCGGAGTACTCTGTTTTGTAACCCGTTCTGATCGGAGTACTCTGTTTTGTAACCCGTTCTGATCGGAGTACTCTGTTTTGTAACCCGTTCTGATCGGAGTACTCTGTTTTGTAACCCGTTCTGATCGGAGTACTCTGTTTTGTAACCTGTTCTGTGCAGGTGGGAACTATAGTGGAGGACCAGGCTACGGTGGTGGACGTGGTGGGGGGGGTTATGGGGGAGGAGGTCCTGGGTATGGAAACCAGGGAGGAGGATATGATAACTACAATGACGGAGGCAACTTGGGAGGTACAAACGCATGTTTTAGCCAGGATATATTGTGATCGGTTCATTGAGCTGCATTCACAGTAACCCACGGTAATTGAATTTGATGTCGGATCTTCTAAAAGCAAATCTCTGTGACCGCTAGGAAACTTTGGTGGTGGAGGAGGTGGAAATTACAATGACTTTGGTACCTACGGAGGACAGCAATCCAGCTATGGCCCCATGAAGGGAAACAACTTTGGTGGCAGAAACTCTGCCAGCCCCTATGGAGGTGAGTGTTCTCTCCCTGAGCTGGATGAGACGATGTGCCTATCTGATGACACAACACTCATCTGTCAATCATTGTTCATTCCAGGTGGCTATGGCTCAGGAAGTGGAAGTGGCGGCGGCTACGGTTCTCAGCGTTATTGATACTTTAAAACGCTAGGGTAAGTTCCATTTGGAAAAATACTGTGCACACCCTGACTGTGTAGTACAGCATGAGCCCACGCAACGCTAGAATAACAATTTGTTTTATCCTGTATCCATTCAACAGGCTTCAATTCTTAGCAGGAGAGGAGATGAGCAAGGATTTACCAGGAAAGCTGCAGGTTACTGTACTTTTTTAGGCAGTCGTCTGAAAGCATTTAAGAGGAACAGAAGTCAGAAAGTTACCACAGCTTTAACGGGAGACTAATCCTAAAAAAAGACTGTACGCAAGCTACAAAGTGAAAGAGTGTAGCTAGTACCTTCCTTTGTGGTAGATGTTTCCCCCACTTTATATTTTTTCCTTTTGTGCATCTGAAGTGTATGTATTGTGCCTGTGGAATCAGAAAGTGTTTTTTTAAATCTTTTTTTTTACTCCTAACTCCAGTCCGTTTTTGAATATTCCTACGTTATTTTGCTGTAGATTGATAGATTTTCTCTGGTCTTCTCATCTTTGTCGTTTTGAAGAACTTGGTTCTGTCAAAAGGGCGTAGACGCATCAGGCCCTCAAATTGGCTAGAGCTGTCCTCTTTTTTTTTTTTTTTTTTTTTTTTTTTTCTCTCTGAAGTTTAATATGATTCTCCATATCAAGTGTATTATTATTTGTATTTCGAGAACAGTATGTATTTCAGTAATTTCATTAGTGTGACAAGTGGTTATAAGTAGTGCAGAAAACAATTTGAGGAAATGTTTTACACTACTTGTATGCAGTAAACTGAATTCTAGATTGTTAAAATATTTTTGAAAAGTGGAAATAAGTTAAATAAAGTTGTGTAGTAAAGTCTTTTGAAGTATAGTGCGTCATTGGCTCAGAGAAAGTTTGAAGGATTGGATTCTTTTTCATGTCCGTAATCACTAATCAAGTGTTGCAAATCAATATCCTCAGAATGTTTTGTTTTCTCTGAACTTCTTTGAAATGTAAAAAAATATATATATATATCTTGCTGGATGGAAAGGGAGTGTTGGCTAGTTCTAGGGAGAGGCACACGCATCACCTAGCCAGCATTGCACTTGTAGGATTGTTACAGCTACAAGCTACTTCAGTTGAGACTCAGCAGGTCAGTGTGGAAGATTGCAGATTACTTTTTCCAGACAGGACCTCTTCAGCCCCAGCACAGTGGACAAGTCAGCATGTTGTGAGAGGAAAGAGAAGGCAATACCGAGAGCCGCAACCCTTGGAGAAAAGCTTGCATTGTTGTCTTGCCTGGTAGTGAGCATCAGCCCTCCCAAGGCTAGCTATACCGTTCAAGATCAGCCGATGCTAGCGAAGAAAGACTAGAGTTCCTGGACACTCGGAGATCCTGTTGAGTCAGATATGAAAGATCACCAGGAAGTTCTTACTAGCTGTCAGACCTTACAGGGGGAAAAGGGGAAGTGAGTATTTCACAAGCTGTGGTAACGTAAAGATGGAGCAGGTAAGAGTAACCACTTTGCTTGATTTACAGATCGGGAAAGAAGCATTACGACTATTAAGGGCTGAAAATCTCTAATGACACGGTTACATGGAGAGATTTCTGGATGGGTAAGACTTCAGTATTTCTCAAAAGTATACAGTAAGGTTATGCAAGGCACTAACACTCATAAGGTAGAACAAATGCTATTGAGTCTAATCCCTTCCGAGAGTGAAAGTGTACCATTCACTCAATTTGGGAGGTCATTTTGAAGGATCTCATGTGTTTCTTGCACAGTTCACTGATCTCTGGAGGTCTGCAGAGAACATGCTTAAATTAACACTAATATACACCACTATAGATGTATTTTGATATTTTGCTCTGTGTAGTTTTTATACAACTTTTCAATATTAATGTATAGCTTTTAATAGTAACATTAAAAAGTAGCTCAATTAAGGATGGTGATTTTTCAACCCTTGGTTAGACAATTTTAAGTATCATATTCTAGTTTGAATAAATTAATACTTGTGCATGTTTATTCAATACATGTGTTTATTGAATAAAGACATCTCTCAAAGGAATTAGTGATTTTATTTGCATGAACAGTGATGGTTTTGTTTGCCTCTGAAAGATTGGTTTGATAGAGGGTGGAGAAGGCTTGATTGATACTACAATGTGCAGTGCTAGCCGGATTACTCATGTATTCTTCCACTGCTCTGTCGTTCGCTACAGAAGAAACTGGCCAGATCAAGGAGCCTGGGTAGCCAGGCAAGGGCAGTGAGTGTTTGTCCAGTGGACCTTTTGAAGTGTAGCTGAACAATGGAGTACACTGTTGCATAACTGAATAAATGCCGGTGGAACCATGTCCTCAAATGGTTTTGGCTTACACACAATTTATAGAATTAAAGGATTCAGGTCATAATATTCCATACATCATTCAATTTTTATGCACTTTTCTCTCTGTCTATTCTGACCTTGAATTTAAGCATGAGGTAACGCATGTCTCAGCCAGCTATTCTTTCGGGGTGGAGATATTTAGAAATGGAGGTGTGTCTACAGATCAACCGTATTCTGACCTTGATTTAATTCCCTAATAATTCCACCACCGTAAAGGTGAATAAGGTCGAGCAACCTGTCGGTTCCAAGTGGAACAGCATCTACTACATTTATTTTCCGACAGAAATAACACCGTTCTCCATGCCTGTAATTTACAAATTGATAAGCGCTATTAATAAGAACTAGGTAAATGAGTAAGCCGTTTGGATAAGGGGATTTTAAATATAAATGACAATTGAGTTACATCTATTTTACGTTATGATCGCTGAAAACAAATGCCAGCAAACTGAAGCATATCAGCTTTCCCACAGTGACGTTTATGAAATGGTGTGCCATTATTTAGAATGTAAATTGTATTTCCTTTTAACTTCAAGGGATGAAATGTAGAGACCCAAGCTATATGTGTATGTAGCCATGCGCAAATGACGGTATAGCGCCAAACCTACAGAGTTGATTTATGATTTCTATGTTTTAATTATATGCCCGGACTTTTCACATTATTTACAATTTGTATTGCGTTAAATATTAGCCAATATCGGTAGCCACCATCAGTTATACCCACATACATTTATAACTGTCACTTTAGTGTTCGTTTGCTTACATTTTGCATCATTCCATTATGTCGTTAGTCTACCTTTTCTTTCCTCTGTCATGTTCGTGTGGTTGTTCCTGATGATCACTAGCAATAGTGAATCATATTAGGCCAACATATTACAAGTTGTGCAATAATTTAGGACATGTAGCCTATTTCAATCATTATGGAACGTATACCATACGTAGCAGTGTAAACCTGGAGCCAGGCACAAGGTTCACGATGACTGGACCATTGTCATCACAGTTCCTTGATTATTAGCGTAGATTTATAGGACTAGTGTTCAACCCCTATTCTACACTTTTCTCACCTTCCAATAATTAATGGATTGAACAATTGAATATGGCAACTTTCAGGATAAATCTAACCACCATTTTTGATTCACCAATATATTTAGTATGTAAAGGCTCTCCAAACCTGTTTTTGTATTATTCATAAATACTTTCCTAACCCTAAATAATATACAAGATCAGAGTATTTTTAAAAATCTACCAATTGGTGCTGTACAGGAGTCGAATATGGGTGTATTTTCATGGCTTTCTTTAATTGATCTCCAATATTCTGAATCATTCTCTCCATATATTCTAGTGAGTCTATTGAGAAAATTGAAATTAAAAGGTACACTAAATATAAAGGGATGGTTTTACATAAATGCACTGAAAGTCTGTTAGTCTGAACACCAACTACTGAGAAGTGAGTAGGAAAGGCGTACATTTTAAATCGGCCCAATTTGAATAGTAAGCAAGAGACCAACTGACTAAATGTAATAGTTTATTTCATTATAAAGCACGAGAGTCAGGACATACAAAATAAATGGAGCCGCAAATCAGCATAAAGTTTATAAAACAGACTTTTGAAGTAACAGTGATTGCAACAATATAATTAGCATACTAAAACATGATATATACAATACACATTTTCATATCTCAATAGCAAATAATGTATTTACAGACAATATCAGAGGAAAATAGAAGAACAGTACAAAATAACTGAAATATTATGATAGATTCAAGAAGAGTAGGCAAAAACTATATAACAGTTCTGCTGTTTTACTAAAACGCTTAAAGCCAAGCAACTACAAAGTTGTTCTTTGCATATTATTATTATTATTACTACTAATGCTGTACCAAGTAGTAAAGCGGAGAAGTGCTAGTTGTCCTTTTTCTTGATAAATGTCTTTTTAATGCGGGGAACGAGGAAGACTGTGCCATCGGTGGTCTGCTGGAGGGAGTACTCCGACGGGGAGTAGGGCTTTCCCTCCTCATCCCTCAGCAGACGGAACACCTCCAGGTACAGGGTGTTAAGCTGCTGCTTCATATTCTGCAGGCTGCTGTCGTTCTTGGTCTTCTCTGTCTGCAGTCGCTCCTTCTCCTCCTTCAGCGAGTCCATGTCATACTCCAGCTCCACAATGTTCTCCATCTTGCGCTTGCGGCAGTTCTGGGCAGCGACCTTGTTCTTGCCCCGCCGGCGGATGTCTCTGACCAGGGCCAGCTGGGCCTCGTTGAGCTGGTGCTTGGACATCATCTCGTTGAAGTCATCCACAGGCAGGTTGATGATCATGTCCACGGTGAAGGGGATCCGGAGGGCCTTGGCTCGCTGCTCATCTCTAGAGAGACGCTTCTCGGAGCGCCTCCTCTTCTTGTCTTTGGTGAAGGGGGGTTTGCTGTGGCCAGTCTCGTCATCTGGCTCAGTCTTGCCGTGTTTGGGCTTTTTGTCCTGCTGCTGAGGTAACACGGAAAGAGGTGGCTGCAGGCCATCTGGTTGGAAAGACAGTGAGAACATCTCGGAGTAGTCAGACTGTGCACTCCCAGGGTTACTGTCCATCTCCTCCATGTCTGAATCGCTGTAGCCACCAAAGGAGCCGTCCCCACACACGGATTTCTCAGGGGAGCTAGAATATGAGCTTGCTTCCACAGACACACCTGAATCAGAATCTGGACATTCTGTCATTATCTCAGGTTTGATGTCTCTGTCAAATGTATCTCCAGGAGAAAGGTCCTGTAATTCCATTGGTGTAAAAGTAGGCTTGTTTGGTATTTCTGCCAATGAGTTACCTCCATTTCCTTGGCCACAAGGCAGGGTGACACTGGTCACTTTTGTGTTGACAACATCTGGGTAAAATATGTCACAGAAAGTGTCTGCATTGAAGTGAGTACTGAGGTCCGGAGCCTTCAGGGTCATCTGACTGAGATGGTCCAGTGGAGCCATGTTGGGAAAGCTCTCCTCAAAGGTGTTGATGAATTCAGGTGGGCAGACATCTGCTGTGTTTGACGCCACCTCTTCCAGGTTGGGCAGTGGGTAGAAGCTGTAGTTTGGATCCTGCACCTCGGGGGTGGTGTTAGTGGGCAGATATCCTCCGGTCTGCTCCTGTGTGTTTTCCATTTCCATATTCAGGCATTGCTGGAAAACAAGATTCAGAAGCATCAAAACAAATCCAGTAACCCAATGCAGTTTATCAGACATCAAGATGTAACGTTAATGTAATATGCAGTATAGAACCATCATATGGACTAGCTGTTGTTCAGTGTTTTATTAAGCATTTATTAAACCTTGGTTTCAAACCTTTCTATTTTATTCCCAATAGTAGCCGAAACTTTGCACAGGTTCAATATTGAAAATAAAGTGGGATTCCTAAATTAGACAAACATTTTTGTATGAAATTCCGCATTGTATTTGTACTGTAAGTAAAGTATTTTCTGGCTTGTTTCCATGGTCCTACCTTCACCCACTGCTAAGCATTAGAAGCTATTTATGTTCTACCAAGGACACAAGCAGCTTCGTACCTTTTTGAGGCTTCCCTCCCATTGCTCTGAGTGCAACAGTGCTATGTGAAACCTGATCACAGTGGAATTAGCCGAGCTGTCTCTTCTTCCACTGCGTCCCATTCAAACAAAGGTGAGTATGTCCTCTCATGCATACCTGGCTGCTGCCATCCATACATTCTTTGGGTGTTGGTTACACCATAGAGCACCGTGCCATTGAGGCGGTAGAAGATGCGTATTGTACCTGCAGCTCGGGGAGGGACAAAAGCTCCATCCAGGCCAGCTCCAAATCTGGGGAGGTCCTCTGTGGGGGCAGTGGGGCTGGGAGTAGGGGGGGCTGGGTCAAAGCTGGCGGATCAGATTTCATCATGATGTGGCTGCTGTTGGGGGCTGGAGCTACGGGGGCGTCCAGACAGGAAGAGGTAGTCTACAACACAAGCAAGGGGAGGGGAAACACTGTAAAAGACAGTTACATACAACATTATATATTGTTCATTATAAACTGGGTGGTTTGAGCCCTGAATGCTGATTGGCTGACAGCCATGGTATATCAGACCGTATACCACGGGTATAACAAAAATTACTTTTTACTGTTCTAATTACGTTGCTAACCAGTTTATAATAGCAATAAGGCACCTCGAGGGGTTTGTGGTATATGGCCAATCGTGCGTAAGAACAGCCCTTAGCCGTGGTATATTGGCCGTATACCACACCCCCTCAGCCCTTAATTAAAAATCGCTGGAAGCATATTTTTAAGGTAATAGTGAATGTCTGTATGTTTACCTCAGTTGCCTCTACCAAAGGAAATGTCTCTGCCAGCAGCTGCATACATTCATCAAATGACATGGCATCCCCATCTACTGTGAAGCTGACATCCTGAAAGCAAAGATTCAAAGCACTTCAGGTTTTCATCTAAATGCCCTCTATTCTAACACTGCATCCATTTCAACATTGTGTTTGTAATGCCTGATTTGCTAAAGAATAGGTAAGAATTTGAGCAGAGAGCAGAGCGCTACCTTAGACAAAGCTCTTCACAGAGAGCAGAGCGCTACCTTAGACAAAGTTCTTCACAGAGAGCAGAGCGCTACCTTAGACAAAGTTCTTCACAGAGAGCAGAGCGCTACCTTAGACAAAGCTCTTCACAGAGAGCAGAGCGCTACCTTAGACAAAGTTCTTCACAGAGCTGTTTCTAAACAGCCAAAACCACTAATGCAAAACTACAGAGCCACCTGTGTTTCCCTAGTTACATTGGGATGAGAGTACCTAGCTACAGAGCCACCTGTGTTTCCCTAGTTACATTGGATGAGGTAGTTACCTAGCTACAGAGCCACCTGTGTTTCCCTAGTTACATTGGATGAGGTAGTTACCTAGCTACAGAGCCACCTTGTTTCCCTAGTTACATTGGATGAGGTAGTTACCTAGCTACAGAGCCACCTGTGTTTCCCTAGTTACATTGGATGAGGTAGTTACCTAGCTACAGAGCCACCTGTGTTTCCCTAGTTACATTGGATGAGGTAGTTACCTAGCTACAGAGCCACCTGTGTTTCCCTAGTTACATTGGATGAGGTAGTTACCTAGCTACAGAGCCACCTGTGTTTCCCTAGTTACATTGGATGAGGTAGTTACCTAGCTACAGAGCCACCTGTGTTTCCCTAGTTACATTGGATGAGGTAGTTACCTAGCTACAGAGCCACCTGTGTTTCCCTAGTTACATTGGATGAGGTAGTTACCTAGCTACAGAGCCACCTGTGTTTCCCTAGTTACATTGGATGAGGTAGTTACCTAGCTACAGAGCAGGGAGGGGAGTGGCCAGCCCCTGACATGACTGACAGCTGTGTGTGTGTACGGTACCTGTGTGACTTGAGAGGGTGCAGCGGAGGTAGCCGTCTGCAGTGGCTGTCCGCTGGGTGCAAGGCGGGGCACAAACTCCCCTGTCTCCTCGTCCAGCTGCAGCTGAGCAAGCAGGGCCTCCTGCTGCACCCTCTGCTGCTGCAGCCTCTTCTCCTCCGCCTGCACCCTCTGCCGCTGCAGCTCGTGCTCCTTCTGACGGTGGTAGTAGTCAAACACCTCGCGCCCCGCGCCCAGGTCTATGTCCTGCCTCCACAGGATGTCGATCAGGTCCATGTCCTGCCAAGAGACAACAAGTTAGACTGGAACTCGCAAAGCACCACACAGACTGCAACCAGATGAGAAGGAGATTGGTGAGGAGGAACGAGGAAGCGTTTCCCTGCTGTGAAGGAGTACGGCGACTGGCTCTCTCTCCAGTGCCACACCCCGTCCCTCTGGGTGTCTGACGACAACAGTACTAGCAAGAATATAATGAGGAAGAAGCAGTATGAATAATAGATGCACTTCTCCATTTCCCCAGAGTTAGGTTCTCACCCACAGAGGAGATGTGCCTCTCAGCTGGTGACTCTCTTGATTAGTCTCTCAACCAAATAAAGGACAGCAGGTCAAATGTAATGTCGCTAGCTCAGAACAAAAAACGAATGAAATCGTTGATCACTCTGAGGAGAAAAGTTCATTGACACAGCTTGAAATTAAAATATGTGGTTTACGTTTTACGGAGCGGCTGCTTTGCCCGAAAACATTGGGACGCCTTTTCCAGATAGCTAAAAAAACTGAACCTTCCGCGCATGTGCGGGACTATTGACTTTACCATTTTTTTTCTACTTTTTATTTGTTTATTTGATAAACCGCACTGCACCACATTTAATGTATTTTGAGAACCATATCAGGTTGAGACCTAGCAAGGAAGGTTTGGTAAAGATATGTTGAAAGTTCTTACAATGTCCCCACTGGTGTATGGCAACACCACTAGGACCTCCTGGTAGACCTCTCAGAGGCTGGCGGTTATTAGCTGCCTGCCTGTTCAGTCAGGAATGTCCAGAGATAAACTGTGCTGGTCTTCCTTGGGCCTCTTAACATCCATTACACAGACCTTATATACAGAAGGAAACGTTTCACAACGTATTAGGGTCACAAGGAAAGCTCTGCGGATGTGTCTATTTCTTACTTATCTGGATAATAAGTAAACTATACTCTCAGAGAGACTGGGTCACATAAACAGAACAGAGAGAGGAAGTAAACAGGGACAGATCAGATGACTAACAAAGTGGAAGGGAATGTAAAGAGGATGTGGTGTTGGTAAGACTGAGCTTGGTGTTATTTGTTAACAACTGATCGATTTCGACATAGATAACTCATGTAAATGAAATGAGCAGAAGTAATTGAGTTGTAAAACTGTGTGGACCAAATCAAGTGTTAAACATGGCCACTATAAATTCAAAAATCCCAAAACAATGTTTCATTGTTATCATTCACATAACCTGTTATCTTTAAATTCAGAAATATGTATAACAAATGTTGACACCCCCCCAGTGGTGGTTGTCCCACTGGCTATCCTAAGTTGAATGCACCAATTTGTAAGTCGCTCTGGATAAGAGCGTCTGCTAAGTGACTTAAAAGTAAATGTAAAAATCTCTCTCTCTCTCTACATAGAGGTGCAGTGCTGCTGAGAACCCTTTAACCCTAATTGCCTCGTGGGTATCACGTCATAGCCAGCATTAGTCCGTGACCACTAAAGCCTTTAAAGTCACAAGGTCTGGTTAGGGCAGTAAGTCTCACTATTAATCTTGGTAGTGAGTTACACAAAACCATCCGTAATACATTATGGCTCTGGAGAGGATGAAGAATAGCCTAAACGGTCCATTTAGCTGCTGGATAAAGGCGCCTCTTGTGCTGGTCGCCCATGTTTTCCCCTTTCAAACACATCGGATTGACTCCATGTGACACAGCCCCTAACCCACACAACCACCCACAACTATCAGTTACTGTCTAGAAGAGTAAAGAAATCTTGAAAAAGCTTTTCATGTTCGTCAACGAAAACTTCAAAACACCATTCATGCAGAGATGAGTGATCTGTGTACATTCACAAATGACTTGATCCTCCCTTTCGAGGCCCCTTTCATGGACTGTTTGGGAAGTCTCAAAAAAGATGATGTAACTACTTGGTCAATTATTTGGATAAACGGCTGAACATTTTATATTTTAGTCATTTAGCAGGCGCTCTCATCCAGAGCGACTTACAGTTAGCGAGTGCATACATTTTTCATACTGGCCCCCCGTGGGAATCGAACCCACAACCCTGGCGTTGCAAGCTCCATGCTCTACCAACTGAGCTACAGGGGACTAAACGACCAACCTATAACTCAGTAACTATTTTGTTATAAACTATATTGGTGGAGTAAAGTATTTATCCACAAAATACCTGTGAAACACACTGGTTAGTTCACTGATCTTTCTGAATAGTATACATGTACTAGGATACCATGTTCGTTCCTTTTGTCTGTCACTCAGAGGAGGGTTGGACGACAAATAAGGAACTGGGTTTGTAAAAATATATGCTCCATTTCCCGGTTGATATTTCCTGGTTGATTCTGTAAATTAGTGTAAATAAAAATAAAATAAAATAAAATATATATATATATATTTAAACCAAACAGATAGACTTTGAGTAGCTGTATTTGGATTTTCCATCTCAGAATGTGCAGCAACTCAAACAACAGAATAAAACCAATGTATTAGGTGAATAAACAGCACTTTTAAAAATAAGCCAACCACAGATTCCAACAACAAAGGAATTGTAAGTTCCAGTAACACAACAGCCCAATGAGATAGAGTAGAGTAGACAAACATAAAGGGGCGGTTTCCTGGACACAGGGTTTCCAGGACTAGGCATAATCTGTTTTCAGGAAACCGCCCCAAAATGTTGCTCTGTGTTGTTTCGTGATACACTGTTGCTTGAAGAGCATACCGGCCCTACTTGGGAGTCAGATTAGTATATTTTTCCACAAAATAAATGCATCTGGTTAAAACAACTAAGTAGGTTAACCTCCTAAACATGACTAAACTCAGGTTTAGTCTTAATCTAGAGGGAAACATGTTCTTTAATTGATCAAACCAAGGCCAGCTGCAGAACTACAACCACTTTTGGATTATTATAACAATGAATAGCCTAAGGCTTAAGCCTACGTATATTTGTCAATTTGACACAACCAGTTTAACTCTACAGAGGACCTGTGTAGCCTACGTCATGGAAAATAAAAGAAACTACATTCCAGGCTGGGCAGCCTTAGATTGTGCAATCAGTTAGTTGTATGGAGAAAAGTAGGCCCGAAGATGGTGGATAAATGAAGATGTCTTACTGAGGCAGTTTACCATTGGAAAAATTGTCAAGTTTCCAATCTGTGTAAGTGGGCGTTCCCTCTCTCGCGTGAGTCTAATCTACCCAATAACAGCTGGCTCTGGGGTACTTACTGGCCCCGACTAGAAAAAAATGAGCCAGTGAAATGTCTCGCTTTCTCTACCGTCCATGGTAGGTTTCTTTTCCGCCTGCTACGTTAGGTTCCTGGTGGTCCAATCGATGGCAACTTTACGGGAAATAACGCTATGGGGCTCTAGTGGCGCATGCCGGTATTCTGACGGCCAAAAAACAAGCGCACTGAAATTAATAGAAAAAGACTGTCTGGGGAAAAGTTTTGTCATCGTCAACTTGTCATATGTTTTACTTGACAATAATTGTATCATTACACATGGACATAGAAATTAAACGGATGTTTTTCTGTTATTTTTCCCCCACACGGAATTGAGTTGGATGAACCGGCCAGACTTCCATCCATGACTTTGCAGAATTTTCTATGAACGAGTCTGTCGACTACAGCGCAAAGACAGAAATTGTAGAGCTACATGCAGTAGTAGCCTAATGTGTTTATAAATGTAAAAACTACAGCACTAGAAGTTCACAAATATGACTATGGATAGTCTATAAGAAAACATATTTACGATGCCGTCTTTTCATTTCATAAACGTACGAAACAATATCTTATGAAATAATATAAGGATTATAATGGAAAACGCACATTGGGTTGAACATCCCAGTTTATTAATATCAGGTAACATATGAAAAGTTTAATTAGGCATAATTTAATTTCAATCGTTTTAAATATCCAATAAAATATAGTTTTTCAACAATAAGGATATAGTCTGGCATTGTGTCAATAGGCTATAGGTCAACCTTGAGCTATGGTTTCACATAATAGCCTATACATATAGCCAATAACAAAATATGATTTACCTGTTGACTAGGGTGCATTTTAGGCATTTCAATTTCCATCATAATGGAGAGTTGTCCCTTCGTAAAGCAAAGCCCAATGTTAAAACAAATATTTGTAATCCTGTAGATCTACAGCAATATAAAATGGTGGACTATCCGAAAGCAAGGAGTCCGGCGCAGCAACGTTTTTGCTATGAAGGAAATATTGCTTCTAATCGTATGAAAATGTACGGGAAAATCCAAGCAGTCTGATGGCCCTGCCTACTAGTTGCAGCAACCAGTCAAGGGCTCTGACAGAGCTGCGCGGGGATCGTCCCCCTCAATATCCTATTGGGTCATAAGACCAGCGTGAGCCAATGTAACATTTGCTCCAAGTTTATAAACAATACATTTGTTACAAGTTTATTCCAGATACATATACATAATCTCTGCCACCATGGATTCATGTTTCTAAAAGAGCCCTTTATATAACCTAATTAGCCTATGCCTCTCAGAATTGCATTTTGGTTGACTTTTTTAACAAATATAACAATTACAGTTATAATGTTATTACAACAGCTATTACAACAATTGTCAGTAGGGCTAATGTTCAACAATTTAAGTCACATTTATCAATTTTATCAACCTGACGGACAAATCTACCCCAGTCATCTCATGCAGAATGCTGTAATGCTGCAGTGTAGTAGGTGCCTTCGGAAAGTATTCAATCACACCCCTTGACTTTTTCCACATTTTGTTGTGTTACAGCCTGAATTCAAAATTGATTTATATTGACAATTTGTGTCACAATACCCCCAAAATGTCAACGTGTGTGATGAGTGATTTCAAAGGAGTCAGGCGTCAGGAGGGTAAATCACAGAATAACAGGATTTATTCCGAAACACAGAGTTACGCAGAAATGCGTCAAAACACTCCAGTGCGCAAAACAGGGGCACTGGAAATAACAAGGCACAAGGGGAAATATCCCCGTGATACAAAATACACGGAGCTCCACCGAGCTTCTCTACCC